GTGCTTTTTTGTCTGCTTAAAGTTGAGGTTGTATTGATTACACGACAGCGTTTTGAGAATCAGTGCCTTTTGTGCAGTATCTGTTTCTCGAAATTGCTACATCATATAATGGTCATTTTGCTGGTGTTTCATTGCAATTTTCGGCCAAGTTTTCTGTTCTGTGTGGAAGAAGAGCTACGAACGCGGCTTGTTTTATGAATCGAGAACGAAAATGGAAGCAGAATAAAAAGCGAAATTGAAAAAAATGGAGGCAACGCAGGAGATTCGCAACAGCGGTAGAACACCATTTCTGGACACGGAGATTTTAGTGCCACTTTCTGCTGTATACAAGTGATTTGGACGATCGGAGTAACACATGAGAGGCCGCCAGTGGAGGACCCATTTGAATGCAAAATTGTGATCGCGTGGCTGGGTGATCCGCCACAAAGAGAAATAGGAAAGCTGACAGCCACATCGATAACAGACAGAAACGCAGATGTAGAACTGAGGTCAGGCTGCTTAGTGTTTCCAAGTAGTATCTGTTAAGGCAGTTCTTCGACTCTCTTGATATTCTTTTTGTTTTTTTTTTTCAGTTGGAGCAGTTTCCGTTTGCTGCAGCAGCAGTGGCACAGAGTGGCGGCTTCCTTCTTCCATCGCTTCTGTCAAGTGGCGCCGGTTCATCGTCTGCTGCAGCTCAAGCACAGGCAGCTATGCTCTCCGCGTTGTTTTCTTTGCCACCTGTTGCACCCGTGCCAACGTCCAGTGCCAGCAGTAGTGCTTTAAAGCAAGAGTATGGAGAAGATGTATTAAATCTGAGCACAAAGAAGTCTCAGAGTAGCTCCACTGGCACCAGCAGCGCGGATCGACCATCAACATCGATGGTGTCGGAACAAGCAGCAAATATTTTGAATAATTTGAATATCACCGAATTATTCGCTTTGGCAAACCTACCGCCAGGTCAGTCCTGTTTTACTTTGAAGACACAAATACTCTCCCCTTACAACTTCGAACGAGGAGTTTGATTTGTCAGCGTTTAGTGACATTAAAGTGCTACCTTTATACGCTGTTTTGTAACTGCTTTGCATCGGTACGTGCAGTAACCTTTTTTCCATACTGACGAAGTACTGTCGCGGTGTTGAGTTAAGGCGTATATGACTTATTGGACCGAAATGTCTTATCTCACTCTTATCTCCTCTCATATTGTAATCTATCCCGCCTTCATCATTTGGGTTTCTAAAGTCAACCTGTCTGCTACATCCTGCTTATTTTTGAGCATAGAAGAAAGCGATGAGTTAGCAATCACTTTACGAATGTGCAGCGTGACTTTCACCTACGAAATTTTGTTGGACTAGATCCAGTTATCATTTTCTTTTTCCGTGGAACTTGGAAATTAAAGGTTAAAGGTTGAAAAGAAGATATCAAGAAAAGAAGAAAACAAAGAAAAGGAGGAAAAGG